TTTGTTGTGTTATCAACTATGTGCAGAGCAAAACATACTAAATAGCTTATGATATGCATTTTGCAGAATAAATAATCGTTGCACATTTTTTAAATAAAAAAAATACTATTTTTTTTAAATAGAAAAAATAATATCACTATTAATATCTTTTTTTAAGTTAATTTTAAGTGATACATTTTTTTCATGCATAAATTTATGGCACCAGAATGTTATAAGTGTAAATATCAAACTTTGGGCATTAGACATGTAAATACATGTAAATTGTGTGGAAATTATGTAGATTTACCACATAAAGATTGAAAGGGTACATACAAATGACTGTTCAAAATAACCTAAAATAAATAGGGGGCATATACATACATACCACTCAATTCTAATGTATTTACATATCAAACCCCTAAACATTCATATTTACATGCATAGCGCGCATATCTTTAACATCACATCAAAAAATATCACCAACACCACATTTTTAAAAGTGAAATACATCTTTTCATGCATAAATTCTATGACACCAAGGTGTTATGAGACTACAAGAGTAAATATCAAATTTTGGGTGTTAGATATGTAAATACATAAGAATTGTGTGGTATTTATGTAAAAATCCCTTATAAATATTGAAAGGGTAGGTATACAAATGAATGTTAAATGTATAAATACTAAATTATCAAAGATGAATAAGACAATAACCACGCTCTAGAACATGAAAAAGATCAAAGATAGATCAAATCACAGCATCACAAAACCATAGGGAAAAAAGTCAGGAAAGAAAGAATAATTCTAACATTGCATTCTACTTTACAAAGTCTTCATAATCCCAATCCTGTTAAATATGGAAAACATTTGCATTATTATAAATAAAGCACCAAAACATAGTTTCATGCCATCATCATCAAACCGAAACAAAAGATAATTGCAGCAGCAGTATAAGATTTTGCCTGATGGTTCACTTGATATACTGCGAGAGCCATTTGAATCCATCTCCATAACCCATCTTTCGGACGATGCTGCACATGAAGACCTCGAGCGGCCGGACGTTAGAGTCGGCGAGGTTGACCTTGCCCTTGCCGGTAGTGAAGTTGGTGAGGCCGAGGTGGTAGCGGAGCTCCTCTTCGGATGCCGCGTACGGTATGTCAATTTTGTTACCGAGGACAAGGAACGGGACGTTGGCTAAGCCGTCGTCCGAAAGCAAGGCATCGAGCTCCTTCTTAGACTCAGCGAACCGTTCCTTGTCAAAGGCGTCTACCAGATACACCACGGCATCCACCTGGGACAGCCAAAATAGGCAAAAATGTATTAGATGGAAGGGGCATTTACATACATACCACACAATTCTCATATATTTACATATCTAACACCTAAACATTCATAATGACATGAAAAACACTGAAGTTTTTAACATCACATCAAAACAAATCATCAGTCCTTTTAGAAGTGAAATTCACATTTTTATGCCTGTTTATGACACAAAAATGTTATAAATGTAAATATCAAACTTTGTGTGTTAGATATGTAAATACATAGGAATTGTGGGATAAGTATGGGGATTTCCCTCATAGAAATAATTGAAGCTCTTTCTTGGAAAAGAATTGACTTTTTTTCAGAAGTTTCAAATGGTCAAAAGAACGTCTTTTTTCAGCAGAAGTTTAAACTGTTGCAGACAAGAAAATGTTTCCGCCCAACCATGTAAACAATAAGAACGTTAAAATAAAGGAGCATTTACATAAATACCACCCAATTCATATGTATTGATGTATCTAAAACAAACTTTATTTTGTTTACATTTATACCACCAAAAATTTTCTTATCACATAAAAAAACCATCATTTTAACTTTTTGAAAGTGAAATAAACCTTTTCATGTAAGATGACAAGTATGTAAAAATTGAAGTTTTGGTGTTAGATATTACATAAGAATTGATTGGGACGTATTAAATCTTCCTAAAATACAGGAGGAGGAAAATTCAACACAGATCTAGTTTAAAGCATGATATCTCTTATATTGGATTCCTAAACTAACCCTAGATTTAAAAGCATTGTGAAAGTTAATAATTAGATTACAAAGCAAAAAAAGGCATCAATACAATACAGGAAAAACAAAAAGAAAAGGAAGGCTGAATTTCAGGAAGTAATCATAATTGCATGTTTTCAATATTGCTAATTACCACATGCTCGCAGTCAAACATGGTCCACATTATCAAAAACATTCATGCATTTCCACATAAATGAATGATCATGTGACCATATATTGTCACATTTCATTCATACAAATGAAACGAAAAAATAGTCATTTTACGACCTTCACTCCGGCCACATAAGAGACTTTTAAGACTAATTCCATTTTTTGAACAAAAAATGACCGCTATCATTAACTTGATCTCAGATATGCTAGAGATGACCTCAACGAGTACTAAAGGAAAGAAAATTACTGCCTCTGATATGAAGCATCACAGGTCGTGAGGCAGGAGACAGCATTGCCCAAGCGAGGAGATAGTGCGGCCTCAGGTCAGTATGAAAAGTTGTCAATTGGGAGGTTTTGGCTGGTAATCTCAATCTTTGGTGGTCAATTACAATATCGGACGCCATTTGCAAGAGAAAAGAGAGGCAAAGATGATGGTTAAGGATGAGAAACAAGAGAAGAGATAGAAATGAAGACGAGAAATTAATTCTAGGGTATTGCAACCACCATCCCTATGAATAACCATGGGTTAGGTGAGGTCTAAATTCATGTTTCTCACTCAACCAATTGACTCGAAGGACAATTGTAAGATCGGTTGCAAACAATAATCTTATAGTGAGAACACATTCCATAGATGCTGATAGGCATACATAAATATCTTTATGCATTAGCAAACTTAGTGACGAAACCAAAATTTAAGGAGATGGGTATGAAATCAAATATTAATAGGCTATGAAGATTAAGTTTAAAATCTACATCTCCTTAAAAAAAAATTAGAACTATTATAAATATTATTATTAATTTAAACATATTAAATTAGTATTAAGTATTTAAAATTATGGGGGTAAAATTTTTAGTGCATTATATGATACTAAAGAGTTTAGTAAAAAATCTAGGAGTGGCACACTGACAACTGACAACTATCTCCTCCAGCCACCCTTGGTTCCACCACTTGGCACACTTGCATAGACATGCTCACAAAAATATACACAAACAAACACATGTGCGCGCCCACACATGTACATGAGAGTAATAATGTACACCCTTGTATGGCTAAACATTTTCCGAAAATTGCAGCATCAAAAGAGGCCCAAACTCAAGTTTCCCTTCTAAAAATTGATCGCATGCATGTGCTACTAAAGCCCATGGAAAACAGCAATAAAGATGCAAGCAGAATATAATCGAACGAAATTACTGCAGTAAAACAGTAACAAGTTTCCAAGTAGGAATCCTAACAAAATATAGACAATCAGTTTACAATAATCTAAAATTAAAACAAATGAACTAATAACGTAAATTTTTTCAATCCAAATTATGTGAATTCCGCCTTGGCAAAATATTATTTAAACCTAAAATGATATTTTGAATAAAGTGATATTGTTATGACCTGATCAAGTCAACTTACACAAATTTTGAAGTCTTGGAATAGGCAAAAATTCTGAACATTGCAACGATGATAATAAATATGGACATAAAAACAAAACAAAAACAATTTAAATACATACACATACACAAAAAGAAAAACAGACAAGGCAACGTAGAAACCTTTCCTTCAAAAAAAATATGAACTTGAAATATGAGAATTGCCAGGAATTGATAAGAAAAAGCAATCAAATTGAAACTTTCAAGGAAGACCAGCGAACTTCAAGGAACGGATCTCCCAATACATGACCAGAGAAATCAATTCCAATTGAATACTGTTGTAGAAAATTAGGAATCAAACACTACAGTATGTTAAACCCCTCGATTGTTTTCCAGGAGGGCAGATACTTCCATAATTAGTAATAAATATTTTCTCTAAATCTGCAACATAGTTCATCTAAATGCAATCATAAATTTTAAGTATATTACTGAATCAAAAAAAAGTTCAAGCTGCCTGAAGACATAATCTTATCCTTGATAGCGGATCAATTTATTATTGAGTTTTAGGCTTATTAGCTATGTAAAAAGGAGGATCCTGCCAAACTATAAGCTTTCAATTGATACAAACCAAGTCAAATCATTTTAAAACATATCCAGTACCTACAAAGTCGAACCCAATGTACTTTTAAAAAGTTGCAGATTTTTAGAGAATTTTCCCAAACCACTTCATTGGATTGACCAAATTGATCAAATGGTTTCAAGCAGGTCAGTTTTAGAACTCCTGCCCTCAACCTTTCATAGAGTCAACCATAATCATTGTTTGATTTCAATCCAATCATTCGTAGTCTCTTCCAATTTCCGATGGTCATACATATCATTGATCCAGGTTTATTGTCTAATTTCAAAACAGTATTGTCAGACATTGTTTGAAAAAAAATTAGCGCTATTTACATACAAACCACCCAATTCCTATGCATTTACATATCTAACACCTAAGCTTTAATGTTTGCATTTATACCCGCCAAAATCTTTCATATCACATCAAGCATACCATCATTTTAACTTTTAAAAAGTAAAATACACCTTTTCATACATATATAAGGTGGTATGTATGTAAAAAACTGAAGTATAGTTGTTAGAAATGTAAATGCATAAGAATTGAGAGGTCTTTATGTAAATCTTCCAAAAATATAAACATCCGGGTCCATCAACCTTGTGTTGATAATCAACTGATCAAACTGATAGTACCCCCAAATGTTAATTCACCTAATTTGAACGACCATTTTTATACGCTAACCAACCTTCAATTTGTAACCTAACCAACCTTCGAAATCTATGAAGTGTCTTGGGTACCATATTTAAGTTAGATGACCAAATTGATCAAATGTCTTGTGTAATTAATTCAAATCATATCTATATTGGACAGCTAGTTCTGCAAGCCCAAACTAGGGAAATAAATCAGCCATCTTGTGCAGAGAATTCAACCATTTTTAGATTAGGCGTTTCGTAAGAGGCCATGCTGATCAGCTAAAACAACTGTTCCTGCATGATAAAATCTGTGAATTCAAGAAAAAAAAAAGAAAAAGAAAGGAGAAAAAATAAGGAAGGAAAAAAAAATTAATTGTTCAAAAGTTGGTTCAAGTGCAAGGACCAAGTAGGGACAAACAAGGGCCATGTAAAACAAACTCCAAGTAGTCCTAAATTTTTGGTTGATAATTTAAATAAAACTCCTTCTGAAGTCCCTTTGACTCCTCTATGTTGTCACTCCATGTCTGTTAGGCAAAAATACCGAAGTGCAACCCACCTAAGAAAAACAAACCTACTCTCGTCAATCATACTAAACCAAACAAATAACATTTCTGCTAATTTTTAAGGAGGATCTCATAAGCTTAGTTTCTTTTTCTTGAGAAACGTTTTCTTTTCAGTTTTCAACAAATCAAACTGATAGTACCCCCAAATGGTAATTCACCTAATTTGAAGGACCATTTTTATATGCTAACCAACCTTTAATTTATAATTTAACCAGCCTTCGAAGTCAATGAAGTGCCTTGGGTACTATGTCTAAGTTTTATCCAAATAAAATGGCCATTTTATTAGGAACAGTCCAAGAAGACCAAATCGATCAAATGTCATGCGTAATTAATTCAAATCTTATCTATATTGGACAGCTAGATCTGCAAGCCCAAACTAGCAAAATAAATCAGCCATTTTGTGCAAAGAGTTCAACCATTTTTAGATTAAGCGCTACATAGAGGCCACACTGATCAGCTAAAGCGACTCTTACCACCTGATAAAAGCTGTGAATTCAAATAAAAAAAACAAAGGAAAGAAAAAAAAAAATTTAATTGTTCAAAAGTTTGCTTCTAGTGCAAGGACCAAGTAGAGACAACAAGGGCCATGTTAAACAAACTCCAAGTAGTACTAAATTCTGGTTGACAATTTAAATAAAACTCCCTCCGAAGTCCCTTTGACTCCTATATGTTGTCACTCCATGTCCGTGAGGCAAAAATACCTAAGTATAACGCACCTAAGAACAACAAGCCTACTCTCATCATATTGATCGGCTAAAGCCACTGTTACTGCATGATAAAATCTGTGAATTCAACAAAAAAAAAAAAAAACAAAACAAAACAAAAGGAAGGGACAAAAATATATTAATTGTTCAAAAGTTTGCTTCCAGCACAAAAACTAAGTAGGGACAAACAAGGGCCATGTAAAACAAATTCCTAGTCCTAAATTCTTGGTTTATAATTTAAATAAAACTCCCTCCGAAGTTCCTTTGACTCCTGAATGTTTGTCACTCCATGTCTGAGAGGCAAAAATACCGAAGTATAATGCACCTAAGAGCAACAACCCTACTCTCTTCAATCATAATAACCCGAACAATTAAATTTCTGCTAATTTTTATGAAGGATCTCATAAGCACACATTCTGACTTCTCTTGTCACATAAAACAGACGTAGATGTGACCCCGCCAGATTTCCTGCATGAAAGAAGGATGATCCATGCAAGCTTGACATGAAATTTTATATTGCTTCAAAAGTAGAAGATTGCAATTGCTAATATTGTAACTAAATATTTCATAAAGCAAAATGTAAACCTCAAATAAAAATCTAATAAAACTGCCAATAAGAAAAGCTTCTGGTCGAAACTAGGTTCACTTATCTCTATATGAAAAAAGCCATGACAATTGATTTTTCAGCGAATTTACATAATTTTCACGAGAAAGCAATTACAGAGATTTTCTTCTGTAACTTCCAAAGCGCGTTGCATTTATAGCACCTGATAGTCTTCAATCATTAGCATCAGACGTTAACAACTCAAAGCCAGGTATCCAAATACTTGAGACTTTCACAAAACAGGAAAACAGAACTCAATTTAATAAAAGTAAAAAAAAGAAAATGATTTTCAACTCCTAGTATCTTAGAGTATATAGTTATTTTATAGACTAAAAAGGCAATCTAAAAAGTAAAACTGTGAAGGGGAAACAAGCCTTGATCAGGAAGAAAAAATCAAACCTTTGCATAGTAATCCTTCCAAACCCGCCGAGCAATCTGGTGCCCACCAAGGTCAAATGCCTTGAACTTAATCTTTCCAATGCTCAGTTCCTCCGAAGTCGGGTATTGGGTCGGCTGATGCTGCACCAACCTCTGCATCCAAGCAAGATTAGAAAAAATCCATTAGAGGTAACCTTTACAGTTAAAAAGGAAAAAAGGTAACTTAAATACGAGACAAACTAGAAAGGCATTTCCCTCTGTGTTTTCGACAAATAAACATAAGCCAAGAAAGGTTTAACAAAGCAGAGTACACTTCAAGCAAACTTTTTTTACTCCATAGTGTCACCATTCATCTTCTATCGACGCTATCCACATGAGAAGAATCAGCTAAAAGTGGCATCTTATGGGTGCTTACAATGCTAGCCAACAAAACTGTCACAAATGAAAATTCAAGAAGATAAAAAGATATACATTGCATCTCATTCAAAGTGGAGACTTGCCCCTAAACTCAACCCTAAGAGGACTATTAACTAGAAAAGGTTTTGACCAACATTAAGCTTTTATTGAAGCTCAGAAAATACAAGATATGTCATAGCTATAGACTCTGAAAGTCTCCCCATGAAAACATAGTATCATCAACTCCATAAAGACTCCATGAGAGAAAAAAAATAAAAAAAATCTCCCATAAAAATTCAAATGATGATATCTTTTCACCTTCTCAAAGTAAAAAAAATTGAGGGCCGAGTATTGGGCTTATGAGAGATCGTCAAAATAAACATAAATCTTGACGTAAGATTAGACCTTAATAAATGCAAAGTTCTTTAGCAACGCATATCTAAAGCATTAGGATAGTGCAGTAATAAATAAAAAGAGCTAAACAAAAGTCACACCGAGCTTGTTTGGCTTTAGCAAATAAAGTTGTGTTAATCACTGGCTAGGGCTCCCATGGCCTACAGCTAGAAGTTAGGACAATGAAATAGCAGTTAGGATGACAACATACCGATCTCCTTAAAGATGGTCTATGGCAATGATACACATAAAAATAGAGAGAGCCACCACCTCCTTTCCTTTCATTTATTGGGGGGGTCACGCTCCTTCTTAGTGTTTGTTAGTGCCATAATGTGAAGTGTTAGTTTAGATTAAGGGAAATAAATTGTGGCATACAAGGCATAAAGTTTGATGATGGGATGGCCTGCATTACATGCATAGAATTCATCATTATTGCTAAAAAATTGTCTATTATAGAAATTTCTTTACTAGTAATTTATAAATAGGGCTTCCAAGCTTTCATTTATATTCATTATATTTATTATACCCTCTGCCCTTGAAAATCTCAAAGCCTGGGGAGCCAAAGACCCCTGACACTAGATCACCCGCAAGGGCTGCGTGGAAGTTCATCTAAAGCCTGCAAAAAATTCAATTGATTTGACAGGCTACGAATAAACCCTCTAATGACATCATGGTCACCTAAATCAACTTATTGTGTGCAAGAACAAATGAGCACGGAATATTCTGTTTGGATCACGCATAACAACCCCAAGATAATGCTTTTCTTAATCCTTAAAAAGGGCAATCTTAAAGGAACCAAGGCTTTGATACGATCCGATGTCAAATTCAGCATGCTTTTCCACATAAATTAGGGTAGAATAAAATTTCCTTCAATAATCCAAACAACTCAATAAGAATACAAACATAAACACCTACAATTCGAGAAGTAGGCAACGTAGGCACTCCCAATTCCTACAATTTGAGAGGTAGAAAATCTCTCCTAAACTTTAAACCTAAGACTCACAACTCAATCTCATGCATCCCCTAAACCCTAAACATAATAAACTTATTCATACCCCACAATAGTAATAAAAAAGACTAAATTGCCCTTAAGCATACAAAAGACAAAATTACCCTTAGGCTAGGCACCAACGTAACAATACTTCCCCCAAAAGATACATTGTCCTCAAGGTGGGAAAAAATGAAAGTCTTCCTTTTCTACCACAACAATCTCTATTTCTTCATCCTCTGTCTTTTCGTCATGCACTATGAGAACTTGAACTTTCGATCCTTACAACGGTGTATTGGGGTAAACTTCTCATCACATTGAAAATATAACCACTTGGCTTGCTTCTCTAGATTTTGTCTGTTAGACGCTTGAGTGTCGCTCCTGATCGTGGTCTATTATTCATGTCCCGTGTAGCCTCCCTCTGGACTTTCACTATTTAAGCTTTTGGTATTGTCGTGTTTGCAGCAGTTCAATGTGACGCTCCATCTATGCTGCTCTGCGATCTCAATAGCCAGAGTGATGCCCATATATTGGGCTTTAGGCCCTTCATGAAATTCCCCTCCAATCTTGCTTCAGTAATCTTCCACAACCATCCCGACAATAGCTCAAATTTCTCCTTATATTCCATGACAGTCCCCTCCTGAGCCGTAGAATTACTCATGTAGGTTTCCTTCTCGAATGACTCGAAAATGTTCCAACAAATAATCCTTAAATTCCTTCCACGAACAGAAGGATAGGGTATCTAGCTTCCAACTAAAACTAGGTTAGGGCTTTCCCCTTAAAACATAACTCTGTCGCCATGAATTTCTTCTCCCCATCTAGCCCATTCACCACGAAGTATCGCTCCACCTCATACACCCACATGTGCATCTTCCCCCTCTAAGATCAGCATTTTCAACTTCCTGACCCTAGCATCACCATCACAACTTCCTCTTCCTCTATTTCCCCCCACGTAACGAGGGTAAAATTCCCTCATTTGATCACAGTCATACACCCTCCTGATTTATCTTCTTTCTTCTTCGTGCCCCTCCATTCCTCTTGCATAACCTCGTCTCCATCTTTCGACCCAACTGTCTCCAACAACAATCTCTAATGCCTCTGGGCTGAGGTTATTGATAGTTGATGCTTTCCTCCTAGTGCTCCTCTAATCGGATCTTTTTTCCTTTTGATTTAGCCAATGAATCTTCGGTCAACCCTTGCATAGGGTTTGCAAACCAAACTGTCAGCAAGTTCTTGGATTTCATTTTAGCAAGCTTCCTCAATATCCATTCAAAGCTCTCGAATCAAACCTCAAATCAATTTTCTATCGATAAAAACCATCCTTCTATGGTGGAGAACATTTCCTCCATCCCATATTTGATTTAACTCATCTCATTCTCCAATTTCTTCTCCAAACCAACTACTTTCTTTGTCATCATCTCTTCCAAAAGAAAATTTGATCTTAAATGCAAAAATTGTTATACCCTGAAATCCCGTCGCCACTTCTTAGCTAGCTCTTACAGCAATTGTACCTCAAATCAGTGTCCCCGGATCATGTCAATCCCGTTGTTGCTTCCCAAGTAGCGCCTACAACAACTCTACGTTAGATGCGATTACATGAAAATGAATCATGCAACCATGATCCCGTCTTAGGCTTCCCAGCTAGTTGAATCCCAGTTATTTGAATTACAAATATGATGCTTAATTAAAGCATTTTATGCCACAATCCCTCTTATGCTTCCTAATTGGCTCTTTCGGCAACTTTATCGCACGGATCAGAGCAATCCTGAAAGATGGGAGCTTTGGGTCTTTGTTCTTCGCGATCCCCTCGCCTGGAAGATTGGAGGTTCGGGTCTCTTTTCATTGTGATCCCTTGCAAACTTTTCAGGAGATGTCTCCATGCGCAATCCCATGTTGCATGTGACCATAAGCTCAAATCATGACTGTATCGGCGGGGTTCAATCACTGCAGCCACGACCTCTTCCTTTGCTTCCAACAATCGTGACTATATCGCAGACATGATCATGCAAACCTTGCTACAATATCTAAACAACACTTTTGTGCTCAATGCCTCTGGCTCCAAATCACAGCTGTATCATCGAGGAAGTGTCGCGATCCTTGTGATTATCTGATCCCATTGTTGGCTTCCTAGTACGTACGTTGTGATCCAGTGTTTCTCATCAGCAAGACAAAGGCATGACGATCTATATTCTGATTTTTTCCATAGTTGAATCCCTTTCTATCTACTGAGCACACAGCGATGCAGTGGTTTCTTCCCAAAATTTTGCTCTGATTTTGACACACTTTTCCACAGAAATTCAGGCAAAATAATATTTTTATTTAATAATTCAAACAACTAAAAAAGAATACAAAGATAAACACCTTCAATTCGAGATGTGGGTGGTCTATCCCAATTCCTACAATTCGAGAGAAAGGAAATCTCTGCAAAACCCTCAATCTAAGACTCACAACTCAATCTCATGCCTTCCCATAACCCTAAACATAAAAAAGCATATTTATACACAATATTAATAATAATAATAGTAATAATAATAGCCTAAATTGCCCTTAGGCATCTAACAACAACAAGCCTGCATGAAACTTTATTCTCCATTGCGTCCTATTGAGAGTCATATTTTTATTTAATTTTAATAAATTAAGATCATTTTTTATACAATATGCTTAAAGTCTTTCTAGGTCTGCCTTCGTCTTTCTTAACATAAGTTGAATCGAACATAAGAGACAAAATTGCCCTTAAACTAAGCACCAACATAACAAAGTTTTATAAAAACAAAGTAAAATAAAAAAAAACAAAACAAAAATAAGAATTGAAATCAATGTAAAATTTTTAAGGGAGCATTCCTTCCCACTCAAATTAAAAAAAGAGGACTTTTTTTTTATTTTTTATGCTAAAATAAAATCTGAGAAAAGAGAGATCATGGGAAAAAAAAATAGAGAGCACAATATATTTAAAGAATGGACATCAACATATGCAAAATTTTTAAGATCGGGCCTCAATAAATGCCAAATTCTCAAGCAACAATAAGTAAATAGAGCTAAGTAAGACTCATAACTACTTTATCTGGCTTTAGCCAACCAAGTTATGCTAATCACTAGTAAAGGCTCTCATGACCAAGAATTAGAGGTGGGGACATCCGGATAACAATTAGGAAACCAACATGCCAATCGCCTTAAAGATGGCCAAAGGCAATGATCCACATATAAATAGAGAACACCGCCAACTCCTTTACTTTTATTTATCGAGGGGATCAAGCCCCTCCTTAGAGCTCGTTGACATTGATAACTAAGTGTTGAAGGCCCTGCAAAAATCCATATGGCTAGGTTCTCCACCACAAACACATTGCATTTGCTAAATGATTTTATGCAATCACCACCAATTTTCATACACCCATCCTTTGATAAGCCAGACAGTGATGGTCTACCCATCAAGTGTTTGGTTTGTTAGCAGTAAAAGTAAGCTCTTAACATCTCTTTCCCCCCTATATGAGAGCCAAGCTCAATGAAGGCTACCTCAACTTCGACTGGTCAATTGAAGGGGACAGATTAAGGACAATCTTGCTTAACTGGTTCAGATTGGGGGAAATAGGTTGCGGCACACAAGGCATTTTTGAATTTTGTTCATACAATTCATCTTCACTATTAACAATTTGACTATTACATAATCTTTGCTAGTAAATAAGGCTTCAGAGAATTCATTTATATTCATTATACTCATCATAATCTCTTTCCTTGAAAATCTCAAAGCTTGGAGAGCGAAAGTCCCGACACTTGATCACACGCAAAGCTGTGAGCAGCTTCACTGTAAGCGCCCCACAGATTCGATCAGTTTGGTAGGCTACCCTAGTGTGCTTTTGTTTGCGAAAAAAAAACAAACACAGAACGCTCTGTATGGATCGCTCATAATAAACCCAAAATAATGCCTTTCTTACTACCTGGTTGAAAACGACTCGATCTGAAAGGAACCCAAGACTTTTAGAAAACAGAGTAAAGCAAAAGGAAACGAAATTAGCCTTTAAATCAAGGAAAACTTTGTGAAAGACGCCGTACTTCCAAGCCTAGCATTTTAATTAAAAAAAGAATGAATTTATTTTTATTTCTCATGTAAAAACCGATCAGAGGAAAGAGAGATCCAGGAAGGCATGAGCCAAAAAGATCTCCTAAAAAACAGAAGCAAGCAGATCCATTTAGGTCAATTCCTTCAACATATTCTTCTAAAAAATGAAAGCACAAAAGACACGAGTCGAATCTCAAGACAATTAAGAAAATTATTTACCTCGTCCTTGAGCATGTGGAGGAGCGTCGTCTTCCCGGCGTTATCAAGCCCAAGAAAGAGGATCTTAGCCTCCTTCTGCCACAGCCCCAGCGAGGCTAGGATGCCGTAGAACCAATCAACCAAGAACATGGCGGATCGATCGGATCGCCCGGATCGCCACCCGTTATGAGGCAAAGGAAACTAGATCCGGCGACGGAGAGCCTCCCGCTCGAGAGACCACCGGAGATCGAGGGAAAACTGCAAAACTCTAAAGCAGGAGGAGAGAGGCGGAGAGAGAGGAATCTCAAGGTAATGAACAAGAAGACGGAGAGTGCGTTGGGACGGATAGAAACCCAGTAAAAAACTGTTTCATCTCTATTCTCTTCAGTAAGTGCCAAGCTTTAATTCAAGCTTATTTTTGTGTTATTTTCAGTAATTTCGAAATAATTCGAAAATAATTCGTGATTTTTAACCTCTAAATAACTCAAAAATAAAGACCTTGGGTTATTTCTGAATTATTTCTTGATTATTGAAAATAACACAGAAATATCCTAAAAATAACTTCGAAATAGCCTCCCCGGCACGTATAGCCACGTTAGGAGTCCGCACAAAAAAATTAGGTCTTCAGTACACTGGGTTGAATAACCAAGTGTTTAGTAATATGTATTATAATGAAAAAATAAATAATTTAATTAAAATTTATAATTTATATATATAAAATAAGCATTTTTTAAATATTAAAAACAAACTTCAAGGCACATGAGTTTTGATTTTTGTGAAGTATAGCTCATTTTTTTCTATTGTGAGTGGCTATGATGAATTGTCATTGAATGAGTAAATATATTTTTTTGTCACCTTAATAATAATATTTTTTGTCATTTATTTATTTATAATTCACTTTTTTTTTTTAATTTAATATTTGAATTGGAGTAAATTCATTTTAAAATTAATCAAAAAAGTTTTAAAATAAAAAAAAATTATAATCATAATCTAACAAAATCTTTACATAAATTTTTTTTATTTAATTTTTTAAATTTTTAATCAAATAATGCATATCACTAATTAATGTCATCGATCAATTAAAATAATATTTAAATTTTGATACTAAATATTTTAGTTAATGAAAAATCATTAAAAATCAATGTCATAATTAATGGTTGCCTTGGGTAATGAGGTTCTATATGACCGTTATGATTTTACATTTTAAAAATTTTAATCAAATCTACTGTGTTATATGATAGTTATTATATCATACAATATGATTTGTTAGAAGATAAAAATGAAAGAAACATTTAATTTTATATGCCCTATAGTGGCAAGAGTTTGAGAATTATGCTCATTATTTATTTTCTTGAAGATTTATGTTTGAAAGTTTGTTTAAAACTAAAATACTCTTGTTGTGCTTATATCTTACTATATAAGAAGCATAATATTATATTCCCCCAAACTTTTGCTTGCTCCATTGCTATCATCATAGTGCAATAGTTCAAAAAATTTGTGCTTAGAATGAACCACATTGATCATTGGTTAGTTTTGCAATTTTTATTCTTCAATAACTCGAACATATATGAGCATTTTTCTATTAATTTATTTTATTTCATTGATTAAATTATTTCAATGTAGAGATAGAGCTAGATATAGTGTTAAGTATTGTATATCAATCTTTGTTAGAATAAGAGTGCTAATATTATTCATGTTTTATTAAATCCTCATCAGATGTTGTCGTGTTTGATCCTCTGTGAATAAATTTGATTTGATCATCATCCAAACAATGTTTCTTCATGGTTTGAACAAGCTGTAACAAACATGAATAACATACTTTGAATAAGGAATGAATAGTATTTAAAAATGTAAATTATATTTGACAATTCTTTAACAGGATTTCTAAACAACTTGATCCATCCTCGAACCATGTTAAAAAAAAGATTTAATTCATATTCAAAATAATTTTAACTAACAATAAAACTATATGTTGACTAAATATTTTTAAATATGAATAAAAAATCAATGTTTGTATTATATGAACGACAATCGAAAAAAAAATATAATTAAATTGAAAATTTGCTCGAAAATAAAATGACAAAATGTTAATAAGAAAATACATTTCTATTAGAAAATCTCTTAGATCTTGTAAAGCACAATTAGAGGTTGATAAGAATAATTTAGTTCAGAATTACATGTAATGCATGAGTAGTGAGGGCGTCCATTAATCAATTAGATATAGAGCAAGTAAATAGTGAGTGTGCATGCATATGAGAGCCAACAAAAGGTCCTACTCAACATAGAGAAGGATAAAACATTACAATCAAAATAACAATAACCCTCACTACCAATCTAAATGGAAGAATATATTAGAAGTATGATGTAAGCCAGTGCTATAAATCATTAACACATTAACACAGTCATCAATGCAATAAGAAAATAGTCAATCATGTTAACAAACAATGCAAGGGATTGACACAATAAAATCACCATGCCCATCAATGAATGTGATAAAATGATACATAAAATGATGCCCAAAATTCATGAAATAAATTCTTATAACAAATTTTATCATGAAAATTGTGATTTTCATGATCTCAGTGAGACACATAGTATGGCTTACAATGACCACTAAAGGATTCAACCCATGTTGACACTTATTTTATGCTCCCAAATGCAAAGCATTGATCGTAAGAAAATGTTTCTAGACATGATGGCACATTGAGTTTTTCTAAACAAACTCAATGAGACTATAAAGCACAATGCATTCTCAAGGATCAATTTTGTTAACACTAACATAAATAATGTTTTTCCACAAGTTATTGGGTGACATTCAAATATCCTTTTACAAGTACAAATCTTGAAATAAAAAATATCATAAAATGACATGATAAATTATTTGCAACTTTTAAAATAGACTAAAATATCACACAAACAATTTTTTAATTTTTTTTAAAACTATAATATTAAACATGAATTTAAAAGCCCAATAATAGAATAATGATAACCGACAACTTGAGCTCCTGTCGTAATAACTCTAAAGCATGGTCAAAAAAAATTTATGCAACATATACACATACATTAAATTTGGTTTGATTATTTTATAAAAATGAAACAAATGTTAGGAAATATTTGCTAATATGACATCTTTAAATATATAATTTCTTATTTTAATAAGGCTTAATGTATATAAGCTTTATATATAATTGCGAAAATGATCACAAATAAATTATAGTGGTCATTTCAGAGAGCCACTCTGATGAATGTAGCTAGTGTGCATGAGAATGATGTTTTGGCTGTCCTAACATCACAAGAAAGAAGATAGACAATTTTATGATGAATTTTGTGTCAGGATCTCCACCAAGTGATAGAATGATTTATGGACCAATATGAGATTTGAGTGCTACTTCTTTAAAGGCTGTAAATGTCATTAGAGACCGGTTCAAAAATTCATATTTCAATACCTACAACCCAGGCTAGAATAAACAACTAAATTTCAACTGAACCAACAACAACTCAGGGGTAGAAAACAGATAGTGGGGGAACACCCAAGAAAACCCTATAAAAAATTAAAACTAGCATGGCATTAGTGACGAGAGACAAATCTATCTAATTGGATCTACCTCTAATACCCAGCTCGAGGATAAATAGTCATCAAAGAAGGAGATAGTTTTACAGATGAGAAACCAATAATAAAGACAAGTTGTAGTAATAAGAACTATTGCGAATCAACTTGGCCAATTGATGAACTTAATGAATAATCGACTCCAAAGGATGCTCTCTAGCAACATTGTCGTGAATCTAAGAGATAAAATGATAAACAAATGTATTTGTGAAATGTTTGATGTTGCTTCAACGACTGATAAAATTAGAGACGGAAATTTTAGATGGTTTGGTTACATTATCTGTCGTCCATCAAATGATCCGATTAAGAGAGTGATTGTTTTGAATTCACTTTATATGATAAAGGTAGCGGTATTTGATGTTGCTTCAACGACTGATAAAATTAGAGACAGAAATCTTACATGGTTTGGTTACATTAACTGTCGACCATCAATGATCCGATTAAGAGAGTAATTGTTTTAAATTCACTTTATATGATAAAGGTAGCGGTGAACTTAAATAGACTCACACATGTTGTATGAAACCACTTTTTAAAAATGAAAGCAGTGGCATTTTTGACATTTTGTCAAAGTTGTGGGTGGTATACATATAAAAAGGATAATTTAGGTGTTAGATATATAAATACATAAGAATTGGGAGCCATGTATGTAAATGCCTCTAATACATAAGAATTGGGAGGCATGTATGTAAATGCCTCTCCTTCTAATTATTAGTAACAGTTATTTCACCAAGGCATATATCTACAATTGCCGGCGTGCGAACTTGAATTTCACATATTCTGTAGAAGCTTTGTTAAGCCATGGCTCTACCTCTCTACCACCTTGCTCCCGATCTCCAAGTCTCTCGGCTTTGCCTGGGTTCTCTCTTTCTTTCTCGCTCCCCCCGACCCTAATCCCATTCCTCTCCCCTGCCGAGATTCATTAAATTCGCTGTGCGTTGCCCTTCAGGTACCATGACTTTTGGAGGGAGACCAGCCCTCCCCCCCCCATTCTCACCGCCTCCTCGACGAGGCTTTCGAGGCCGGTATCAACTTCTTTGACAGCGCCGAGATGTAATAATTGAGGATTAAGGAGTCCTAGATTCTTCATCCCAGTTTTGTTTTGGTTTTCTTGATCCACTTATATATGTATCCTTCTGTTTTTGCTCGAAATATAAACGAGCCGAACATGAGCTGAGCATGACTCGCTCGTGTTCGGCTCGTTTACACCCGTAGCCTCTCCTTCTAATTATTAGTAACACTTATTTCACCAAGAAGGCATATATCTACAATTGCGGCATGCGAACTTGAATTTCACATCATATTCTGTAGAAGCTTTGTTAAGCCATGGCTCTACCTCTCTACAACCTTGCTCCCGATCTCCAAGTCTCCCGGCTTTGCCTGGGTTCTCTCTTTCTTTCTTGCTCCCCCCGACCCTAATCCCATTCCTCTCCCCTGCCGAGATTCATTAAATTCGCTGTGCGTTGCCCTTCAGGTACCATGACTTTTGGAGAACAGAGCTCACTCCCGCATTCTCACCGCCTCCTCGACGAGGCTTTCGAGGCCGGCATCAACTTCTTCGACAGCGCCGAGATGTAATAATTGAGGATTATGGAGTCCTAGATTCTTCATTCCAGTTTTGTTTTGGTTTTCTTGATTCACTTATATATGCATCGTTTTGTTTTGCTGATTAAGGTATCCGGTGCCTCAGCGGAGAGAAACTCAAGGAAGGAGCGAGGAGTACCTTGGACTTTGGGTGAGGCAGCGGAGAATTCCGCGAAATCGCGTAGTCTTGGCCACTAAGGTACGCAACATTTTTCTTTTTTTAAGGGTAGGTTTACCCACCCTGTTCTTTTGGGAGAAATCTTTATGGAACTTTGATCTGCCTCTCAGTGAGCGTAAAAACCTATTGAGATGCGTAAAATTAGGGAGTTTTTTATGCCGGCATTACAGTTATCTGGCCTATCAATTACTTTCTTAGAAAGTGCTACCGTTTTAATGCTAAATTTTATGTAATGCCAAATGGGGGAACTCCATCTTACTTCGGACATTTTCAGCTTGTGTTATTATTTTTTTTTTTGAAAGTCTGTATATATTGCTACGAAGTTTGTCCGTGTCCATCCTTTTGTGCTGGGAGAAATGTACTTGGAAATCATTGCACCTTGCAATTGCTGAACAAATCCTTTAGGGGCTGTTTGATAGAGATTTTTAATAGGATTTATCACTACCATCACCACCAGCTACAACAAGAAGCCTTTGTCCCACCGAGTGGGGTCGGCTACATGAAGCATTTTTCTCCATTTTATTCTATTGAGTGTCATATTTTCATTTATATCTAATAATTTAACATCATTTTTAATATAACATGCCTTAGTCTTTTTAGATCCACCTCAACCGTTCTTAACATAAGCCAAATCTAAAACATCTCTTCGCTTAAATGTGTCATCAGATGGTTGACATTTTATGTGACCAAACCATCTAAGGCTTCTAATAAGATTTATCGTTAGATTTATTAAATTCAGCCAAAGGGCAAGAAGTGGAAGTTGAGTTTATTAATGGATTTACTACATCCTGTTTTGCCTTCGATTTTGCCTAAATCCCGAATTTACTAAATCTAGGGCTTTTGTGGATTTATGGATTAATGGACTTATGAATTTACTAAATACTATCAATGTAAATATTATTCACCGCTAAATAGCCCATTAATCTGTAAAAAGGATTTTTTATACTGGTATAACATTTGCTCTCCCACCATCAATGACATTCTCCATCCATGTTACCAACTATGTGCAAGTTTCTATGAATTGTCTAATAGCATATTAGTTATTTTAAACTAGATTTACAAAAGCTTTTTTTAATATAACAATATTTAAAAAAAAAGGATGTTGCATCGATCTGACTCATAACATGCAACGCTCGGTTTTCAACAGTCAGTAAACTGAAACAAGCATTTCATATATTGGAAATTGAAACAAAGCGAATAAGTTGAGACACAATTTAAACAGAGACGAAGGGAAGGTGCAGGAAGCAGACAAAGAGCGAGAAGGGTTGGACATACTCGTCCGAGCACCATAGCATTGAGCAAGTGATTTTTTGCGTGTCCGAGAGGCATAAGCATGGCGAGGAAGAAGAATAACAAGAAGAAGAAAGAGGAATACTTGCCTGCGAGGGACAAAGCCAAAGGTAGTAGACGTCGACTCTGACCATGAAGGACTTACCTACGCAGTCAATTGATGTTTACGAAGGAAGGAAGATTGTTGAGCGCAAGTTGGGGCTTCCTGGTGTATCGATTGAAGCCGAAGTTGACAACGATGACGAGCGAAACATGCGTACACTGCAATCGAGCAAATGGAGAGGAAGAAGACGGTGGGTGTTGTGCGAGCCGACAACAACAAAAGGTGTTACCGTGCCAATCGGGACAAATGCAAATGAATGAGCAAGTAAGGTCTTACACTAGGGTAGGTGGAATGGTCTTCAAGCTCGAACGACTAGAGCGTGCGAAATCGAGAGCCAAACTGCCTATGATTAATGACTGTGAATCGAGAAACTATAGTGTGCTTGTGTGGGATCAATCAAGATGAAGACGGAAGGTTTAATGTGCGTTGGAACATACATCCAATGTCTTACTGCATCTGAGGAAGCGAGCAAAACAAATAAGACATAGAAGTAACAAGTGATAAAAAGTAGTATGAGGTGGAAAGGTGAAACAATTTTTTCGTTCGAGCGATGAAGGAGTTGAAGTCATGTGAAATTATAATTGTTACCAAAAGGTCGATAAAATTGAGATAATTTTAATTAAGCATTTCTATTATACGTTATATATGTTTTAACACTATAATATCAAATTTAATTAGTTGTTTAAGAATATTATACATTAGAAGATATATTTGATGATGATTTTTAAAATTGAATAAGGGAAGCCCTTTTAATTTCAACAAAAAAAAATCAAAGAAATGAGTAGTCAAATCTAGTAACGATAAGAGTTATGTTGAAATATATATTTTAATACAATAAATAAGAAGCTTTCATATTAAATTAATGACAAAATAAGAGAAATTTTAATAGAAGTAAATATTAATAATTTAAATAAGATTATGGTAGAGAAAAAACAAGAAAAAAATTAATATTATCATATGAAGGTTAATAATTCAATTTCGAGCACTAAACATTAATTATGATTTATATACTTAATTAAGTGTAAACGCGAATTGAATTTATGTAATTGAATAAAAGAAAGATGCTATTTACCAAAAGAAGTAAATAAAACCAACTGACAATTATCGTTATATTTATAATTAAACACTCAATTAGAAAGGAAGTGATAGCGAAGGAAAAAAAAAATTATCAAGAGATCAAAGTGAGTGCTCTTACTTTTAAGTTATTGTCATTTTTGTTTCTTCTAAGCCGAATTCATTGATTATTACTTAAACTTGATTGCACCATTCTACTATGATTTATATGCTATTTTAGATATTGGTGATAACATTGTGATGAGCACACACACAAATATTGGAAATACGAATATTACACATTATTTAAAGGTAGAATTGAATGAAAAAAATATATGAATGATATGAACTGCATAGATTGATTGTATGTGAATGCTTGATTATGATGAAATTCACCCTTTTATGTTATTAGCGAGAGATTAAGATATCCGTGCGTGTAAATAGAAAAAAAATATTGATATTGATATATCTTTATTGGTATAATTTTAGACCGCGCTCCTGTGACATTTTTATATATATAAAATGATATAGACATGTTACTAATATAATAAAACATATTGAATGTTATGAATTGTTATGAATGATCATATCTAAAAAAGTAACATATGTGGTATTTTTATATTAATTTATAGTACTTTTGACTAACATGTATATTTTTTCCATTTTATTCCATTATTGTAGTTTAGAAGTAGATGTAATTACTGGCTTTTGTAGCTCATTGTTGTTTTAAATTAATATTTCAAGGTTAATCATTTGATTAAAAAATGAATAATAGATGAAATATTTATAGAAGACGTGAAAAATCGGAAATGAGGTAAATTTAACTGTATTACTTTAACTTACTTTATATAGTGATTCTTTTATTTGTTTTTGGATGATTATATGTTAGTTATAGAAATGATAATAGAAAAAAATTAATTAATATCGTTTGATTTTCTATTCCTACCTTTGTTAATTCTAAGTCCCGGGTCTGGCTTGTGACATAACAACTTGTTGACATGACATCTATATTGTTGGTCAGATCATTGACAAACTACATTTTATTCTTTTTTTTTCTTTGAGATCTCTTTTCGAATAGCAAGCTAGCCAAGGCCAACAATTGAAGGTCGTGGTGTTCTATTTCCTCTTTAAATTCCTCATTTCCACCTCTTCTCTTTCAAGCCATTTAATCTTTCATTGGAAAAACTCTTGTTTCTTTTTTGTCTTTTTTCTTGCCAAATTTGCTTTTATATGATCTGTTTGTAAAGTTAACTTTTGTAGCATTTTTGTTAATTTTTTGCTTGATTTAATGTACTTGTGATATATTGAATTTTGTGTTTTGTATTTTTTTTGACCAGGTGTTTATTATGTCTTCTTCTAAGATTTTGAAATTAATTAGTGTTTTTAATAGAGGATATAATAATTTAGGAGATATTGCACTATTATGGAGATATTGTTGAGTAAAAATTTTGATTATGCAAATATTTAATATTTTTGTAGATTGGCGTACTGAAAATTAATTTTTTGGTTACGATTGTAACATATGTTGTAACGTTTAATGTTGTAAATCGTAGTAGAAAAGATTTAAACTTTTATTAATGGTTGAGCAGATATGTGCACTCTATTTTAAACTATTTGACAAAAAAAGATGAATAGGAAGCATTATTAATACGTTTCCAGTTCAATTCAATCTTTATTTCCGCAAATTAATTTGTGTCATTTGAGACTTCATAATGGAAGGAAACATTACGTTAACTACGATGATCAATAATATATAATACACAAACTATATATAAATTATAATTGATATTGACTGACTTGGATTTATGATCTATTTTTTTGTTCAACAATTTTACCTGAAATGAATTTTCATGTTTTAAGATTAATGCTAGTTTTTCAATGGTGGTTTGACCAAAGCAAAGAACTTTGTGCCAACATTTGTTGGCAGTCAGAATAGAACACTATAAAGTCCTCTACATCCGTTAATTGAACAATTAAGGTTCATAATCCTTCATGTCCTCAATCTTAATTTTGTTAGGAACACAATTAATTTGAGGTTACCCTATTAGTGGTGGAGTTGTTGCGACATCAATTAATGATGATGAAGTTACCGAGTTGGTTTCAATGGATACCATCAACAAAATGTTAGTTGTTTATGTTGAAGTATTACTTCAATGGAGTGTTGTGTTCTTTTTCTTTTTGCAAGTGATACGTTGCTGCTTGTTATTTTTAATGTAGGGGCAGCCATTGAACGTCATTTATACATCATTGTTGTAGGGGCGGTCGACAGAACATGCAGCGAACCTTCTCAACATTCTTACATCATTGTTTCAACAACTTCTTTGTTATTTACAGCCGAGACAGCCATTGAACGTCATTTATCTCTCTCCAAATTCTGTCGACCGCCCCTAAATCATCCCTTGCTATTCCACTACCACCTCCCTGCTAATTTCGTTTCCTAAATATCTTCTAGGATCCCTAAAACGGGTATCACTTATAGTATTTTTCAGACCTATAAATTTTAATGTTTGACATTAATAGGTCAACTGATACACTACCAAAAAACTCACTTGATAATACAATGATTTTGAAATAA